CGGGGGCTTCGAGTCCTTCCTCCCTGCAAAATAAAAGCATTGCCTGACCTCTGGTGTGTGTTTATCATGATTGCAGATGTTCAGATCAGACGAGTGTGAATCTTCAGAGTGTGTGCGGCTCAAACTCACCAGCTCTTCTTGCACAGATGATCTGAAGAAGAATCACAGTAGGAGCAGCAAACACTGCCATCTCAACAATACTCACAATCACTGCAGGAAACATGAGAGGAAGAAGAAGAGAAACTGGACATGACTGAAGTCAAGGGTCTTCATCTATCAACAGTTATTGATGAAGCATTTACAGACGGACTGATAGTGTAATGTTAGAAAGCTGTCCGTCTAAATCAACGTGTCGTACCTCTGTATAATAATCCAGCAGTTCCTGATGCCGGATCACCTGTGGAGATCACGTGTGTTAGTTCAGGTCAACACACACTTCTACATGTTTACACACACCACACGAGTCCATGAAATGAAGCTAACACAACTCAATGTGCCAATGGTCCTGTAGAATATGACAGTCATATTTAGATGAGTGAACACTGAAGATAACTCCAGCATTACGCACTGAAAAGCACTGATGTGAGAAAGACAGTGATGATGTACCTTTAGAAACGTGTGTGTTTATAGTTGAGGGATCCTGAGAGTGTGTGATGTGGACTGGATTCACTGCTGTCGTTGAATCAGCTTGAGCTGTGAAGATCAATGTTAGTTCAGATGATTCATACTGTACAATATGAGCATCATATTTTAACTGTGATCATCACATTACATAAAGAGTGAACAGTTGGACTGTGACTTCACTGCAGTTCATTAGTTTGAAGCAACGCTTTGAGTTCCTCTTCTGTGAGAGTCAAAGAAGCTTTTGTTCCCTCAGTTTGTTCTGGTTCAGTGATACTGATAGACCTCAGTGTTCCTGACATCATGAGGCTCTTCTAACACTGTTTCCTCACCTGAATACTTGACAGTGTATCTGACTGACGTCTGGACTTGATTTCCCACAGTAAGCTGACATCTCCACTCTCTGTTGTCATCTTCATCCAGGAGTGTTGTAGTCAGAGTGATGATACAGTGATCTGGAGATGATGATGATGATGATGATATCTGATATCTGGAGTCTGTCTTCAGATCAACACCAGCCTGATTCACCCACAACAGCTCAACTCCTTCAGAACTGACCAAATAATTACAGAAGACTACAGAATACAACTGACAGGAGAGAGTCACAGAGCGGCCTAGACTGATCTCAGTCTGTGAGGATGAAGATGATGATGATGGAGACACTGAAACTGAACACAAGACACAAATCACAGACTCTTCAATCATCATCTGAGTTTAAAGGGAGAATCTGCTCTTTTTATATTGAACACATAATCATAAACTCACCATGAAGAACATGCAGAAAAACACGAGCATCAGTTCCTTGTTGTTCTCCATCCACATATTGTGTGCAGCTGTATAATCCATAATCTTCTCCTGTGACGTTCTTGATGTTCAGAGAGCAGTCAGACTCCAGACTCAGTCTCTCATGTCTCTCTGTGTCTTTATTCTTTATTCCTCCAGTAATCAGTTCAACCCATGAACCTCTGAATATGTTAGAGTAGGTCCATGATGTTGATTTGCAGTCAGAAAGAGTTTTTTTACAGGACAGAGAGACATCTACACCAGAACTGATGAACACATGATCCTCTCCACTGGTTCCTGAAACGCAGTATATCTCAGTGATCATGATGATATAAACAGAAGTATTAAATGATGATATTTGTCCTCTCGACTGCATCTGAGAGTGTTAAAGTTTCGGCTGAGTTTCGAACGCTCTTTGGGTTGTAAGTTGATGCGAGTGCGGATACATGTGGAATGCCAAAGCTGGCTTAATTCAAAATAAATAAATACATAAATAAATATACAAAGAAATGTAAAAAAGTATAAATAAATGAGTATTTATACTCTTATTTCCTTCTTTATGTATAATTCTATTTTTCACACATTTATTTATTTATTTATACATTTACTTGTTTCCACTTTTATGTTTTTATGTCTGCATTTATTTTTATTCTACATTATTATTATTTTCACATTTATTTATTCCAACATTTCTTTCTCCATATGCTAATGAGGGGGGCGTGTTTTAACTCAGACATCAGCAATCGAGCTCAGAGTGGCAGTGCTGAAGCTTTGAGGCCACAGTGACCCCTTGTGGTGTGTGACCAAACGAAACGCAAGAGCTGTGCGGTAATTTCACATTTTAAGTCATGTATAGACCTTATTCGCAAACACCGGAAGTAGCTAACCGCGGCCATATTGTTGACATGACATCTGTCCTGCTGCCCCTAGCCGCGCGCTGATTTGAGTTGAGGGGGAGCTTCATCTCGTCGGTATCAAGAGAAGAAAAGCTTGATTGGTGTGTGGACCCACATCAAAATTAAATAATAGCATTAAGTAAAGATCCGTCCTTATTGCCAGCCGTAACCTATCCGGATATTTATAACGATCTCGATCATACAGTATCCGTATAACGGACAAACTACAATTACCTCAACAAGGCAACATAATGAACGACACTCGTCTCATTCGTGGAGGTGGAGAAACAAGTGCTTTGTGACATGCAAGATTTGTTGTATTAAAATGTAAAATGTTTTTGTCAATGTTAAGTTTTCATTTAAAATGTTTGTGATTTTAATATAAGTACATGGTTACATATTTGACCACTTGCTTGAGCAACTTAATATATAGAAGTAATGCATGCAATAATTGTCTTACTTTGTTGAAATAGTGATTATGTGTTAAAATAAAAATAGTGAGAACGGGGTGTTTGTGGTACAGCCGCGGATCAGTTACGCACTGCAAACGCAGCATATAAAGCACCAGTATTAGTGTGTCCTGCTTCTGTACCGTACACACACCGCACACGCATTGCACACGGATTATAAAACCTGTGGTAAAATGATGGGAACAGACTTTTCTGTGGGGAGTTGGCTGAAAGTTTAGCCTATTTATCCTAGCTAGCCTCTCCTGCGCTGACTCAACCCTGTCTCCTTCCCTTCACGTTTTCTGACAGTCGGTATCTTATCGCATAAAAACTAACTCTGAGGTTCTTATTGCTGTTGTTAGAACAGCCGTGTATTACACAACACCATCAAACCAGTGATAATACCATGGATAATCCCGACGCTACCTCGCTTGTCCATTGACAGACTGACAGTTTCTGTGGTTTCTATGTCAACAATATGGCCGCCGCAAACACTGATAGTAAGTAAGTAAGTAAAAGTTTATTTATATAGCACCTTTCACAGGTTTAGGGCCACAAAGTGCTTTACAACAAAAACAATTAATATCATAAAATACACACAATAAAAAAAATAAAATAAAAAAAAACCGTGAAATGTGCAGCAAAAGTGAGTTGTGCATCCAAGGCCTGAAGTTAACTTATTCAGCCAGCGGCCACTGTGGCAAGTGGATTAGAGAGGGGACGAGTGGAAGACCGCCTTTAACACACCCCTCGGGCACTTCGAATATAAGCTTCTTCCATTCGGATTGGTCAACGCCCCCACCGTCTTTCAGGCTCTTGTCAATCACGTCTTTTGGGATATGCTCAACATATTAGTTTTTATCTCAACGACATATTAATTTTCTGACCCTCTCTCCAGATCCATGTACAACATGTTCACCGCGTTCTCCAACGCTTTCTTGAGACTCTTGAGACTCTCCACTCTTCGCCAAGGCTGAGAAATGCTCCTTTCATGCGTCCTCTGTACCGTTCCTGGGCTCGGTCATCTCTGCAGAGGGGATCAGTATGTCTCAATATTTTCATGTATCGTTACAACGCTTTCTCGGCTTTGCTAATTTTATCGTCGTTTTTACGCAATTTTAGTCGAGTGGCCGCACCGTGTTAACCTCAGCTAAGTCCT